GGGAGACTCAAAAGGTAACCTACAGCAGTGGAGGGAGACAGACGGAAATCGACCATGTGCTGGTAAGAAGATCATCCCTCAAAACTGTGAAGGATATCAAAGTTCTACCCGGCGAAGATCTGGCTCCCCAGCACAGGCCCCTCCTGGCAGACATTGCGATAGACCTCCCAAGAAGACAAGGGTAAGAACCGAGAGGAGAATCCGGTGGTGGAAGCTGCACCAAGCGGAGAAGGATGACCTCAGGCGAAGATAATGGAAGTCGGTCTCCCAGATCCTAACGGGCCAATACAGCGGACTTGGGGCAACGCGGCTGAGACCATCCTGCGATGTGCCAAGGAGGTACTGGGCGAGACGCGAGGTGGATTCAGAGGAGACAAGGCAGCGTGGTTCTGGAACGAGGAGGTCCAGCGAGTCGTGAAGCAGAAGAAGGAAGCATACAAGCGCTGGCAGAAGACCCGGAGCCCCGAAGACCTCGCTACCTACAAGAGTTGCAAGAGGCTCGCTAAGGCTGCTGTCGCCAAGGCGAAGAACACGGAGAATGGACGCCTTGTACGAGAAGTTGGAAAGCAGAAACGCAGAGAAGTTCGTCTTCAGGCTGGCTAAAGCCCGGCATCGGCTACTCAAGACATCAGGGTGGTGAAGAGTGTGAAAGGCAGCATGGTGTCATCCTAAGGAAGCCAGCCGAAGTCAAGAGGAGGTGGGAAGAGTACTTCAGAGGCTTCTGAACGAGGAGTTCCCCCACAAGAACAACTCACGGGCAGAGGCCACAGCTGGTCCCATCGCACTCTGGACTGAGGATGAGGTTAGGTGTGCACTTGGGAGGATGAAGGTTGGAAAGGCGGTTGGTCCAGATGGGGTGCCAATCGAGGCATGGAAGGCGCTCGGAGAGTACGGGATAAGGTGGCTCACCAGCTTCCTGAACAAGGTAACAGTGGAAGGAAAGATGCCGGATGCATGGAGGAACAAGTACTATCGTCCCCATCTTCAAGCAGAAGGGTGACGCGATGGACTGCTCCAACTACCGCGGGATCAAGTTGACTGCGCATACCATGAAGTTGTACGAGCGCCTGGTCGACTCGAAACTGCGGGAGCTGGTCCCGATCTCCCAGGAACAGTTCGGGTTCATGCCCGAAAGGTCTACAACGGATGCCATCTTCATCGCAGGCAAGTGATGGAAAAGTATCGAGAAAAGCGCCGACCCTGCTACCTAGCCTTCCTCGACCTGGAGAAGGCGTTCGACCGGCTACCGCGAGCAGTACTATGGAGGTCGCTCAGGGAACGAAACGTGCCAGAACACCTGATCTCGCTGGTGAAGGACATGTACGAAGGAGCCAAAGGCAGCCATACGCACCCCTCACGGCCTAACGAAGGAGGTGGACATCACGGTTGGGGTGCACCAAGGGTCAGCTCTGAGCCCCTTCCTGTTCCTCCTAACACTAGATGTCATGGTGAAGGGGCTCATGGAAGGACCACTGAAGACCATCCTCTACGCTGACGACATCGCCCTGATAGCGGATAGCAGAGAGGAACTTCAAGCCAAGGTGCAGAAATGGCAGAAAGTCCTGGCAGAAGGTGGGCTCCGGCTGAATGTCAAGAAGACCAAGTTCCTGAGCTCCGAAGAGGGTGCAGAGTCGATCGTGGACGGCCATGGTGAGACAATGCAAGCGACCGCGAGGAGCCCCAAAGAAGAGGTGGAGAGACGTGATCAAGAAGGACCTAAGTGAAGTCATGGCCACAGCAGAGGATGCCCTGGACAGAGCAAAGTGGCGACGACTGACAAAGACAGCGGACCCTGCGACTGCGCGGGACTAACGCTAGGGAGAAGAAGAAGGGTGATTCTGCTTTTGGATACAACATCTCCCACAAAAAGTGCAAAATGTCCGGCGCCTCGAGGTTCGGAACCCCCAACGTAGAGCACGGACCAAACGCACTTATGGAACTTCCACACGCGCTTTATCCACACGCACTTTAGTAGTAGCACGATTCATTGCGACATCTTTCCAATTTCAAACAAACCTCACATTGTTTTCTACAGACAGCTTGCAAAAACCCTTCATTGCACAAGTAGCCCGCGCCATAAAGAAACACGTCTCGTTGAGGAGGTAGAACTATAGTTACAAAATTACTTCCATTCCTTTTTAAGCATGCAGTAGAC